GGGAAAATCTCAAGAGAAAATGTAAATATTATCATGTCATGAGGGCATGTGGCTCTATATTTATTGACATGGAAGAGCGGGCGGGGTGGGGGGTGAGGATACCACCACCTGCGGAGAAGCATCTGTAAGGCATTCCCCAAATCCATGACTGTGGTGACGTCTGTGGGGTGGCATTTGGGGTGAGTTTTACTTTTCTGATTTTGGAGGTAAAGAATCAAGTGTTTTGTAAGAGAAAAATTTAGTAATATTAACAATAATAGCATTGTGTTAGAACCAATGATAGTTAAAACTTAATTATATAACAAATACATGTAATATAAACTAAGTATATATAAATAATACAAACTAATATAATCACTAGTAATGGTTCTGGAATGGTTTTATTTTCTAGCCATCACTTCAGAAGGATCTGGAACTTCCAATCCCTGGCCGAGGAACCCACGGCCTCTCGGGGTTTCTCGCAAATGAAAGTCGAAGAGCGGCTCCTCGTCCTTTCCCCCCGTGACTGCGGCACACGTGGGCCAGCTCCCTTGAAAGGAGGCCGCCTGGGCCCAGTGCACCCCGTCCGTGAGCAGGGGCAGCCCCTTTCCTCTCGGACTCACCTTCCTGGGGACACTAACCCAGTTAGTCATGATAATTATCCCTCCCCACCCAACCCCAAAAACCTCCATGGAAACAGTGTGGGCGTATTTTCATTTCTTTATTAGAAAGAGGCCTCTACACTATAGCCACCTCTCTCCATTACTTTACACATTTTTCTTTCTTTTCTTTCCCCTTAGAATACTGTACAGCTGACACAAAAATTCCCAACGCAGGAAAATACAAACTGGCATATTAATCGGAACAAAATCATATGAAATAACAAAGTGAAATGTCTGTCAATGGTTTTAATTACAGTACAAACAATATAAATAAAGCATCATTGAGTCGTGGTGAAACATAAACTGGCTGAATGAGGTAATATAAAAACAACCCCACCCCCCCCAAAATCAAGCCCTTCTCTGGATAAACCCCAGGCTGCTCTTCCATCTTCTGTACATGGCTATTTACAGAAACAGAAAGACGTGCTCAAGGTGGGCAAAGACCCGGCCCTCCCTGCGCCCTCCTGGAAGTGCCCCTCCAGCTCCTCCTTTTACCTGCTCCGGCTCCCCTTTCGGAAACACACCCCTGGCCTGGTGAGACCTCCCTTCAATGTCACAGACCAGAGAGCACGGGGCTGTCTGGGGCAGGAGGCCTTGCCAGGACCCTGCATGGCTGTGCCTGGGCTGCTGTGGCCAACTGGCCCAGCCCTTCCCCAGCCACCAGCTCCTGGCTTCCGGGAGCTCCTGGGAGTGCCTTTGATCAAGGGCACTTGGGGTCCTCCCGAGCAAGAGGCTGCAACCGCAATAATTTGGTATGTTTCAGACACAAAAACTCAGCTGATGGAGGGAAAATGGGGTGGTTTTCACAGTTTGGAGAAGGCCTTATTTCTAACACTAAGCTGCACGGGCTGCCATCAAGTGGTGCCTACCCACTGTGGAACAGTCCAGTCCACCTCATACCCACCTGTGTCCCCGAAACAGTCGTGGGCAGGGAAGTGCTGGGGCCTCTGGGGCTGGACTGGGAGGCGTGTGGCGGGTCACCCGAGCAGTGAGTGAGCCCATCTCCCTGGGCGGACCCTGGCTCACGGCCCATGCGGTCTATTCCGCCCTCTCACCCTGGGGAATCTGGCCAGGAGGCATGGTTCCCCCGGGCTGCTCGGTGGAACGCCAGCCACAGGGCCCCACTCAGTGGCCACTGGCTGGGCTGCCACCAGGGTCTCTGCAAGAGGCCTCTCACTCAGGATTGCTATGTGCGGGTGTTATCCAGGGGGGGAAAGGCCTGGGATGAACTTCAAGACCCAACACTCAATGTACACACAAGCAATCACGAACGGGCGGCCTCTGAGGGCTGGCGAACCTCTTCTTTACAAGGGTTTTTGAACCCGCTCAGATATTCACTCCCCACACCAGTGTGGACACCAGGGGCATCATGGCATAATCTGATCAGGGGCAACTGCTCCCACCAGCCTGTGTGTGAAGGGGCTTGTTCCATCTGGAAGATTCCCCAAATGCTCTTGCTTCTTGTTTGGTTCCTGTCCTTCACCTGCTCCTTGAGACAAAGGCGGTGTGGTTCTCACTCACACGGGGCACAAGATCCGTCCTGACGGACGTCAACAGGTGGGTCTCAATCATACAGCTTGAACACGAACTTCAGGGGCCTTCTCTACCGATGCCACTTGCCAGGCCAAGTATAAAGCCCTGGTCAATCTCCTGAGCTCCTGAGGGCACCTCGCCTTGCCACTTGACACATGGCTAGAAGCCCGAGCTTGTCTGTCCATTTCACTGAAGCAGCTCCCACCTGCACCCCTGCAGCCTTCAGAGCCACAGTGGGTTCCTGCTGGGCATGCCTGCCCCAGCTGTGCCCACCTCTGGGCACCGAAAGCCCTCTGGAAGGGATGAGGGCCTCAGATAATGTGTTTATGCCAACCAGGGGCAAGTCCCCAGACTGAATGCTGCCATTTGAGAGCAGGACAGCACCTTGTGGATGGAACGCAGTCAGGGGAGGCTGTCAGGCTGGTGGGTGCTGACCCCTGGCTTTGGGGAGGGTATTTACTCCACTGGGGACACTGAAGTATTTCTAGAACTTGGGCGTTTTAAAAACCACAGATTAAAAACCGACATTTGGTTTTATAGAACCCCCTGGTGATGAAATGTCCTCTAATATCAACTCTGATCCAAACTGGAAAAAAGTGATAATCTATGTTTAAAAAGCAGGAGACATCCAAAAGTAAGTAGGGAATCTATACATATTGTTTAAAAAAATCTACTGAAGGACAGCATTTCTCCTCTAAGGGGAAGAACTCTTGTGCTTTGAAATACTAATGGCTAAATTGTTAGATGTGAGGTGAGGGGTGAGGGTCCAACACGGGCTTGCTGGCCCTGAGTGGCATCGTCTCTTTCATCACGAGGTCACAGCACTGTCTCCACCTACCGCAAGCAACCGTCCCCAACCCTTCTCTCTTCTGAATAACTGGTAGGGATGTGACACTTTCACTGGAAGGCAGCCTGATTCAGAAGCTTGAATAACAGGGGACCCTTCGGTGGTGTGGGGCACAGAGCTGAGCAGGGACAGCTGCCACCTGTCAGCACACCATGTGGGGGGTGGTACCCCTACCCACCAGAGCAGTGCACCTGGGGATCCTGGCCGGGCCATCCACACCAAGGATCACTGGCCGCAGGGCTTCCCAAGTCCGAAAGAGAAACACATGGCTAAAAATGGCTAAAAGTGAAAAAATGCAAGTCTTAATGCCAAAGCCCCTTATTTAGCTTTTTGGTGAAGGATGAGGGTGAAAATCATTTGGAGACGGGACTTCACAGCACGGGAAACCCATGTTTGAGGCAGTTAGAAATGAATTATATTTCCCGGGAAAGGAAGATGTGTATCTTCAGCACATTTCTATTTGAATTCCTTCCCGGCTGCTTTTCAATTTCTTTGCTTGAAGGACATAAATACAATCCAGGGGAGTTCTAGAAAAGTCACGCTGACCTTGTGGGCTGCATGAGGGATGGAGCAGAGCAGGTGCTGGGGGAGGGAAGCGGCCCGGGGGCGGGGGTGGGTGATGGATTTGCTTTCCAATTGTCTGCCTTTTGAGAAGTTTTTGAGACCCGATCACACCTCCCCTTAGAGGACGATATCGCTGCAAAGTTTCTGAACATCCCTAGGTGGGAATGTGACTTTCTCTGTCTTTCCAGAACATTCTGAATGCTGGGAGGCAGAGTTGGGAGGGGTCCTTCCTAAACGCCAGAAAGACCAGCACTGTTGGAGCCAGAGGGACGCAGGTCACCTGTGAGCGCAGCTCAGGCTGGGGGCTGGGCAGGACCTAATGGTCACTTATTGGGGGGAGATGTGCTTACCCAGGGCAGGCCCAGGCCCAGGTGAGTGCCATCCCTGAGCGGGAGGGCAGCGCCAGCGAGGGAGACAGGGCGGCTGCGGCGCCTACAGCCCATCTGCAGGCCAGGGAGCGGGCCAGCGAGCTCGGACTCTAAAAGGAGCACTGGAAGGGGACCGATGTGTGAGTCACAGTGGCCTCCCGGCAACGGGAAGGTGGCCTCTCTGGGCAGGGAGGCCTGTCAAGCAGACAAACAGGGCGAGAGAGACAGGTGGGTTGTCCTGGGCCTGAAGCAACATGAGTGAACGCCACGAGGGCGAGACTCAACCCTCTCTTGGCCTCTGCAGCATCCAACTCAGACTAACCAGTGGAGGATGGATTTCGGTCAGTGGCCGCTGGGGGCTCAGTTCCTGGGGGAGGGGGGCTCTCCAGGCCATGGACACTGTTCCCAGCACCAGGGGCAGCACACAGGAGGGCTGGAGGCTCTGGGGAGGGGCCGGCAGAGCCACCATCGCCTCCCCACCGGACGCCTGCTGAGGACGTGGGGCCAACTGGGGGGCAGCCTCCCGGGCCTGTACTCTGGCTTCAGTCCCATCAGCATTTCTGTTCTTAATAAATGCTCCCATTTCCTGAGCAGCCAGCCCCTGGCCAGTGGCTGGCTGGCATTTGTCACACTGGTTCCAAGCGTCATCAGGCCATGCAGCGCCACCCTAGCTTCACAGACCAGGAAAAAGAGCCCGCGAAGCTGGACGCTTGCCCAGGGCTACAGAGGAGGGCGGGGAGCCAGGCGGCAGGCTCTGCTTGGTCCCAGGGCTGTCCCTACTCTTTCTCACCAGAGTGTTTTCCCTAAGGTACTGACAGCTCCTTTGAAGGCGTAGGGAATGACCCTGAATGTATGTGGATGCCACAATGCTGGGAAGACCCGTGCCTACGGGGCATGGCAGAGCCCGGGGCCAAGCAGGCCTGGTCAGGCTGGGGGGAGCTATGGGAGAGGCGTGGAGCTGCGAGGCTCAGGGCTGGCTGCAAGGGCCCGCCCGGGCTCACGGCCCCACAGAGAACATGCCAACCTAGGGGTTCTAGTCACAGGTAATTCGGTAAGAGCTGCCCAGAAGCCCTGTGATCAGCAGGCACCCCACTGCCTTCGCCTGCTTGCTGGGATAATGGCATGTAGCACGCACTGCTTGTGGGACCAAAGACCCCAGAACGCATCACCCACCCTCAAGCTGCGCATCTCCCGGGGGCTCCAGGAGACAGCGGGGCCCACAGACCACGACGGGAGTGCTGGGCTGGGTGAAAGCCACCTGTCCACCCCAGCACTGAGGCCCACCTGTCCTGTGCAGGGTCAGAGCCAAGGGTGTGTCCCTCCCACCGGGGCAGGGTTTCCACTGCCACGGGAGGAGTCCAGCGAGGTCTGTGACATGTCCCTGTCCCCTGTGGGTCACCCTCATACGTGACAGCCTGTGTGCAGGCCTTCCCCAGCAGGTGGCTCTCGTTCGAGGATAATTTTAAATCTGAGTAGAAAAGGTGATTATGCAGTGGTGGTTTCTCGTGTCATTGTCACTTCACTGAATTCACACGGGAGTAAACAATGGAAACTCGACCTCCTTCCCTGACTGGGTATTTCCTGCCTTGGCCCTTGGGTCTTGCTTCCCTGGCCCTGGTATTAGGCTTGAAGGCGGGAATGAGCGCTGTCAGTGAGGGAAGGATCTCCAGTTTGACACTGAAATACAACCAGATTAACTGCCATTCGCCTTTATGATGAAGGAAACCCCTTAAAACGCACTACCACCTTCCTCTGCTGCCAAAACGCAGTCTCAAGAAAGCAGGCTGCCTCCTGCAGCAGATCAACATTGCTAAAAATTGTAGAAGAGAGAGGGGCTGAGTTTTCTGAGGAGGAATCGATGCAGTCCCCGTGCCCGAGGGAGGGAAGGGGAAAGAAACCAATCTGGCATTCAGGGTGTGAAAGGCTAAGTGAAAAAGAAGTTATTTGGGAAAATATTATATTATAAACACATATAATCATATGTACACACTCATATACATCTCAGAGAGAAGCCTCACAAGGAGTTCCTTTTCTTTTCAAAAGACGGCTTCACTGTGATAAAGCATTCCTACCATGGGAATTAGCTAAGATGAAATAATTTAAGGGTTTCATTCGTACTGTATCTGCGTTCACTACATAAAGTCTACGCTATAGGCTGTGAGGCGGATGTGTATAGCTGGATTAGAACAGTGGTGTGTTCTTCAAAAATAGGCAATGACTTTTTTTTTCTATTCACATTTAAAATAACTACACAGTGAAGAAACACAAAATTCAACATAGAGTGGAGGGATTATGGACCTGAGGTCAAGGCTCTCAGACTTGTGGCTTCTGAATCCGGTGTTCCTGGAAACCGCTGAATCCCACTTAGCTGAGTCAGGTTAGAAATGTCCATGAAACACTGACCCACATATAAATTCTGTGTAAAGCTTTATTTTATTCCCCAGCTACTTTAATTTTTTTTTTTTAAGTGGAAGAAGAGGAAAGACTCTTACAAAATAGAAGGATTAATATTTGAGAGCAAGGGACGTCCCTGGGGGCTGCGGGGCGGGGTGTCCGGTGTTCCTCCACCGCATCACTCCGTGTTGTCTCCAGAGGTGGCTGCCCTCTTCCCCCGCCATGCTGCTAAAAGGGCTCCAGGCACAGCCACTCCCTCTCACTTTAACCTAGAGCATCATGCCTGGCTTTACTGTTGGGCCACCATACTGAAGGCAGCCGAGGTCTGAAGCAGCCCCATGCCAGGTCAGGGGGTGTACTAAAATGGGGGGTCTGGCCGCCGAGTTCGAGTCTTCAGGAAGCTCAGGAGCCAGTCTGAGCTGCAGACCCGTCGGCCGCTGCTCACCACTGCCTTTGCAAACCCCCCGGGGCTGGTGTTCTGAGTATCACCCCTGCTTTGCTGCAGCCCCTCCTATGGGCTGGCAAAAGTGGTATCAGATCTCAGTCACACTTTCCGCACTGTGAAATCCCACGCCCCCTTCCCATCTTGAATATGCTTCCGTGTCTTCTTTTCCTCTCTCGATTTTAATAAGCAAATTGTACCACCATCTTATTCTGATATGTTCGTCTTTAAAAGCTGTATATCACATTAATGGAAGTGTTTACTGCTGGGAATATTTTCCAAGTACAATGATCTGTAACCCCCTTATCTCAACTAGTTGCACATTATTAGTTCATATCCAGTTCAATTTATAAATTAACAGAGGTGCCATTTGTCTGTACAAAAATCAATGCATATTTATGAACTTCTTTTATTCAAATAGATTTTCACACATCTTATCTAAAGACATAATACAGAAGCCTGTGTGACTTGGGCAGCACGGCCCAGGAGTGTCTGAGACCCAACACATCCCCTTGGCAAAGGAAATAAAGGATCTCTCGTGTTTGGAGAAAACAGCCTTTTAGGCATTTACTTAGTTTACCAAATGTACTCAAAATGCTATTGTTAGCTGACATAGTGATCTTTTGAATTTCCAAGTTACTCTGACTTATTTTCCCAGTTTGTTTCTGCACCAAGGAGACTGCAGTCAAATAATACTCGGCAACTGATTTCCTCTCTTTGCACTGAAAAATTAAACAGATACTAAATTATGACAGTGAATTTAGAAAGGAGGGCTCCAAGGGCTCGGGAGAACATGTCTGGGATAATATGATGCTTCTAAGAGTATTGCAATCACATCGTGGCAATCATCAGAGCGTGCTGCGTAACTACCTCCTCGGCTAATATGCTTTCTTCTCGGTGATGACTAATCATGTTCTATTAAACAGCGGTAATGCTGGAAGAACTCAACTATACAAGCGTAATGAAGCCAGTATTCTCCCTGGACAGATTAGCTACGACTGATTTGACACATACCATCATAGGGGCTTCAAACCCGACAGACTCTGCTCACTTCTGATTTATGCCGTCAAGCTCCTCGGAGAAGAGATGAAATCCAAGTGTTCCATTTGGTAGAGGTGAAATGTACTGATGTGCTTAACTGCCAGTTAAGGAGAGTTACCCCTTCTCCTTGCTCCTCACCTCCCCTCCCCCTCGTCCCCGTCCCTTGTGCCATGCTCTGTCTAGGGCCACCGGATGAGGGTCCTTCCCCGTGTGCTTCAGCAGTGAACCAAGGCCCGGCGGTCGCTCCCGTTAGTCGTTTAGGGGAGTGTATGAGAAGGGATCGATTCTGCGGCCTCCTGGCCTCCTCTTCGCCCCTTGGGGACTGTCAGGTTTTGTGATTTCATTTGGGGTGAGGGAGGGTGGGTGGGGGGCAGGCGACCACCGGGAAGCGAGGGGACGTGACGGGACTCACGTGTCGTGGCTTCCGAGGGAGGGCGCGGCCGTGGCGGCCCTCAGATGATGGTCGGCACCCTCCCGCTGCTGTTGTTCCGATTATTGTTCCTCCTGGACAGGTTGGGGGTGGCCATGAGCACGAAGCGCTCGTCGGGGCAGCCGTACTGCAGCAGGACGCCGATGCACTCCTGGCTGGAGGCCTGCCGGGCATAGGCCAGCGCCGTGTTTCCGTGGGCGTCGCGGGCCATGACGTCCACCCCGTACTGTGGAGTCAACAGAGGGTTCTGTCAGCGTCGGGGGGCAGGGAGGCTCAGCTGCCAGGGATGGGACAGGAGGGGACGCGGCACGCAGCTCGAGGGGGCTATACAGATGAGCTGCGGGGGGAGATGGCCCGGTAGGCAGCACCAGGGCCCACAGCACATTCTTTCAGGGAAAGAACGTGCTTTTTGCAACTCAAAGCCCCTCCTCTGTGCAGTAGGAAAGGACCCAGGATAACTCTAGCTTCACTATTTCTATTTTCACTTTCTAATTGTAAAACATATGTAAACCATAATCAGTTTTTTAAATCTCAGGGGCAATTCATTTTCCTTACAGGAGAACATGGGCAACACATAAGCGCAGAAGAGTCGTCTACTGTCTCACTATTCAGAGACAATCTTGGTTAATAGCTCAGTGTATTTTCTTCTAGTGGTTTTTCTTTGGATCTAAATGCAAATATGCATAACAGCTTTCTGCCGCCCTTTGATGGGGACCCATGTGGCTGAGATCCCAGATGTGTGTTGGCAGCCATGGTGTAGGGTGCGTGAGCTAAAACACGCAAAAAAAAATTTTTTTTAATGTACTGTGATCATTTTCTCCCATGATTAAGAATTATTCCAAAGCATGACACGTAACAGCCATGTAGTATTCCTCCATATCAACATAATGCAGGAACTCTGATCTCAGCTGCTGTACATTTTGTTTAAAAGTCGTCATTGGCACAAATAGTGCTGCAATGTACATCTCATATCTAATCTTTCCAAGGGTCTCTGGTTGGGGAGGGGCAGTGGGATACTAGGTAAAATCACACAGACATTTTTAAAACTTCTTGCTCTTGAAAAAGGGTCCCTGACTTCTGCTTCCAGCACGGTGTATGCGAGTGTCACCCCACTCATCAGCTGCAACACTGTCTTTAACATAAGTCTTGGTCAATTTGAGAGGGAAAGATGGTAAGCAATTTGCTATGGACTGAACTGTATTCTCCCAAAACTCATATGTTGAAGTCCTAACTCCCAGTACTTAAGAATGTGACCATATTTGGAGATGGGGTCTTTAACTAGGTCATTAAGGTTAATTGAGGTCATATGGGTGGGGCTCTAAGCAATAGGTCTGATGTTCTTAGGACAAGAGGAAGGGACTAGGGCTGCACGGGCACAGCAGAGAGGCCACCTGAGGGCCAGGTGAGAAAGTGCAGTCTGGGATGGGGGAGGCCTCGGGAGAACCCGACCTTGACCTCGAACTTCTAGCCTCCAGACCTGTAAGAGGAAATACGTGTCTGTTGTTCAAGTCCTCCCAGTGTGTGGTACTTGGTGAGGGCAATCTGAGCAGACTGATACACAATTATTAAAATGAAGCTGAAAATGTGAGTGTTTTGACATCTGTGCATCTAATCTAATTCTTCCATCACATCCATTACAAAAGTCAGATAAAAGCGTGCAGAAACTGGCCTTGTTCACAGCTGTGTTGCGGTGACCCACCTCCTGCCTGGAGTGGAGACAGAGGAGCCTCTGCTGGCGCCCCAGAAGGCCAGCACCCTGCTACCGGTCAGCACACGCCTCCCTCCCCACCCAGAGGCCCTCTCAGCAGGCAGCTTTCTGCCGCCCTCTGATGGGGACCCATGTGGCTGAGATCCCAGATGTGTGCAGGCAGTCAGTCATGGCGTGGGGTGCATGGGCCTCTCAGGAGCAGTTCCTGGTGCCATGGGGGTGTTAACCTTCCAGGCTTCATGACAAATGCTTCTATAGAAACTTAAAAAATAATTGTCCCCAGCAGCAGTTAATCAGAATAGTTCAGAAGAAGCCCTCTGACAAACTCCTACTACATCAAACCTCAACATTTTGGCCTTAGTATTTGTATTAAGTGAATGAAAACCCCAAAGGTTTGGTAATGGGAACCATGTAGTCCATCTGGCCTTCATCCTCCCTCACCATCCCCCCCACAAAAAGGATGATGGGATTGTTCTGTAAAGGAACAAGAGGACACCCCTAGCCACGCGTGACCAGCAGGCGTCATCAAAAAGATAACCTCGGCAGACACCAGCAAATGCCATGCAGAGGCCAGTTGTCCCTTCCGAGGACATTCCTGACCTCATTCCTCCCTGTTATCAAACCTTCAAGCAGGGCTGTCACCCAGGCGGGCCCAAAGGGCAGGGGTCTCCACACCTAAACCCCCAGCCTCTATTTGTACTGTTCCCATCTTCAGACCAGTAACCACTGCCCTCCACCATGAAGATGTATGCGGAGCAGAACAAAGTGTGTGTAGGCGACCTACCCAGATCAGGAGCTGGGCCAGGACCACGTTTCCCTTCCGGCAGGCCAGGTGCAGCGCCGTGCGGCCGTCGCCCTCCCCGCAGGTCTCGTTCACCTCGTCCCGGGAGCCATGCGCCAGCAGTAGGATGACTGCCCGCAGGTCCTCGTCGGCGGTGGCCCTCAGCAGGTGCTGGCCGAGGGACAGCTCTGTGCACGGCAACGGAGCCAGGAAGAGCTTCTGCTCATACTTGGCCCGGATCCACCGCTCCTTCTCTTCCCTGCAAGAGCCACCAGACACGTGCGGTCACGACCGGCAGGACAGCCAAGGAGGGAACCCCCGGGCCCGGGATCCTGCGGTCTGGGGGCATCAAGAAGGAAGAGCAATAGCAGGCGACAGGGAGCCTCCTGGGGGAAAGGTTCACCTACGGTTGGCAAGCTGGGGTCCCCACTCAGCATCAGGACCAGCTGGGAGCCTGCTGGAATGTGGGTTCTCCTTCCCCAGCCCCCTAAATCAGGAAGTCTGGGGGTGTTTCAGCAAGCCCTGTGGGACCTGATGTCCTGGGGTGAGAATCTGAGATGGAGGCCCATGCTTTGAGCTGCCACACGGCGTTTTTTAGTTTTACTGCAGGACAGATGACACAGGCCTGGGGCCCTGACCCCTGTGGGTGAACAGCAGCTGTGCGTCGGGATGAAAGAACACTGGCTGGAATCCGGGGGTCGGAGGCAGGACAGCCAGTGGGTTCCCTGACCTGGGTGTGACCTTGAACTCTTAGCTCTCCCCTCAGCGCCTGGCGCTTCTAAACGTTTCCAGAGAATGTCTGACTACAGGCCCACACGGAAAGGGCAGAGACCCCCGTGGGGAGGCTTGGGGGGAGAGGCACACTAACTCAGGACATGCAACTCTGTGACCTCTCTGGGGGCCGGGGGAAGGCACAAGCAGAGAACGTCAGGCAGTCCTTAGGTGACAAAGAGCGGCTGGGCTTCCTGAGGGGAAGTGTTGCAAGGCCCCGCCTAGGTGACAAGGCAGGTGGCCCCCTCAAAGGCCTTAGAAGGTCCCAGGAACCTGGGGTGCAGGGGGGAGGATGAAGACCGGGAGGAGGGTGGGGACCTTGGGGTTTAGAGAGTGACTGCTGGCAGCTATGTCCCTTCCCCCAGCAGCACAACCTGCTGGAATGAGCTGGGTGGTCACGACAGAAGCTCCCACCGCTCCCCGGGGGTGGACGCTGCCTGTGACTTCCGGAAGGAGGGATGTGGAGAGCACGGAGGTGCAGGATGGGAAAAGGGATAAGGAGAGAGAGGTCACGCGGGGCACCCGCACCCATAGAGGCAGGCCTCGTGGCATGCCCAGGAGATGGAAAACAGCCCAGTGGCCCTCAGGGTCCTGGAGCATTGTCAGAGGGAAGACAGGTACGAAAATGCAAAACTCTGAAGTGAGATTTCACAGGTGGCTCTGGAAATGGGAGAGCCTGGGGACAGCGAATGGCACTGCTGGGCCGGACAGATGCTTTCTGATGACTGGACGAGAAGCAAAAGCCCTGCAGAGAAGTGGCTGTAAGGACCCCAGGAGATGGGGAGACACCTGGACACACATCCTGAACCCCGGCATTTTCCCCAGGAGACAGTCGGGGGGCATAGTTACAGGTTACACAGGGTAATCTCTGAGGGCCTCCATTGACACTCCAGAAAGAAAACTCATTATCCGTGACATTGTTCTTCCTCGGTACAAAGGCCCGTGTACACCTTCCACCCGTGTTTACCTTGCTCCTAGTGACCCAGTGTCGGGTTAGCCCTAATCTGCTCTTAAATACTTAGGCAAACAGATTCTTCCAGGAGTAAATCTGGATTAGTTTTGCTTCACTTCCTGGTACATGCGAGTGACCCCAGGGTGACCCCGACCCTTTTCATTCGGAGATCTCCAGGACAGATACTCGGCCACAGCTGAGACCCCACGCCAGCACCCATCCATGCGGCCGGGTGGCAGGCTGCACACCGCCCCCACTTGGGCTGAAATGCCAGTGAGTCTCAGAAATACTGGGGTTGGGCGAAAGACAAAACCCCCAAACTGCTGGTTTGGTGTTATTTAAAAACCTTATTTAAAATGTATTAAACATATGTTGATGCATTTCATAAATCACCAAAGACAAAGAGCAAAATGCAAATTAAATGGAAAGGGACAATGATGAAGGTCCAGACTTTCAAGTCACAGTTGGCGAGGTCTGATTTCCTGGTAGGCATTAAAATCAGAACTGTTTTATTCTGCTCCGGGCGATTTTCATCCTCACTGCCGAAGTGCCCAGGGATGAACCAGAGAACTGAACATGGTGCCTACTGTCCTAACACGTCAACAGCCCGGCCAGAGAGGGGGGACAAGCCCACTGATTCGGAATCCCTTCCTGCTGTCATTACGTCCTCACGGGGAAACGGAGGTGGCCCTCTGTCCTCCAGTCTGGTCACCCCATTCACAAGCTGGCCTGAATTCACTGAAATGGACATTCTCTGAATGACTAGTGCATTTAAACTATTTTTTGCTTTTAAAAATTAGTGTTGTTTACGTACATAATAAAGGAGGGTCCAGGTTTTGCGGGGCTGAAAACCCGTATGATTTCGGGAGCCTTCTTCAAGAGAAATACTTAGTTTTATGTATGTGGAACCAGGAACAAGGCTTGAAAGAGGCTTTGGAAGGCCCCAGGCTTCGGCTTCGGCTTCCCTGCCGGTCCACCAGGGACACGGCAGGACTTGGAGCGGGATGACTGTTACTCGTACGGGCTTCCAAGCCTCCACCGACTTGGATACAGACAGCAGTCCCCGCCCGGGAGCCACCCCGAGGGGCACCCCGAGCGCACCAAGTTTAGACCTTCACGTGGCGTTCTTGGTGGGCCCCGCCTCCCCCGCCCCAGTCCACACAGCAACGCCCCCAGTGAGGAGACCCCGAGTCCGGCGCCAGGCAGCTTTCATTCTCTGCTGGAACGGAGGCTCTTCACCAGAACTGCCCGCACTACTGAGGAACAGCAGCTTTCGGGGCTGGCGTGGGGGTCCCGTGGGGCTGCAGGGATTTTCTTCAGATACCAGGAGGTAGCCAGGAAGTTAAGGGAAGCCGCTGGGTTTCGTGCCTGCTGCTTCTTGCACCTGAAACCCAGCTGGGAGGAGCAGAGGGCTCCAGAAGGGCATCCGAGTTTCTCGGGGTGCTAATTCGGCAGCCCCGTTCGTGCACTTATTCTTCAGAGTCCATCTCCTGCGGCGTTGCCCACCCCCACAGGCCAGGGAAAGCTTACTTCTGGGTGCTTTCTGCGGTGGCCAAAGGGAGGGAAAGAGAATCAAAACGGAGCTAAACGAAAGAAGGTTTCTGGCATCCAGGTTCACGTTCCTGCTTTGTTCTTGGACTTGAACTTCTGTAACTTCTTGGACTCTCCTTCCCTCACCTGCAAAATGGGCGCAGCGATGTCTACAGCAGGCAGGTGGTGTTGGGACTGAGGTCACACGTTTGGAGGACGTGATGGCCACCCATGGTGGTCTTCCTGCAAATGGCACCTGCTGGTGTCATTACACTTGAAGAGAACACCGTCTCTAAAGATCTACACTTGTCTCAAGCAAGTTGTGCTTGCTCGCCCGTTGTGCTGGCGAGTATGACAGAGGGGTGCTGGTGGCACAGGGTTGGGGGTCAAATGCCTGCTGGATGCCTTAAGGTGTCTAAATCCTGGCTGTCTATAAATAAGAGCTTCACATGGTCAACGTGGTCGGCATGGTGAGAGGGCCCAAAACCAGGGGCCTGGACAAACCCATCAGTGTCTTATAAGCCCCCACCCCAACCCTGCCAGAGGGCAGAGGGGCACAAGACATTGGGGTGAGGGGTGCTCAGCTGATGTACACGCCCCCATGGCTGTTGGGGTCTCTGGGTCCCAGTAAGGTCAGCCCCTGCCTGCCGCCTGAAGATGTCTCAAGTCTTCCTGGATGTTGTGGACTGAACTCTCTCTCCCCCAAACTAGTGTGAAGCCCTGACCCCTGCTGTGACTGGGTTTGGAGATAAGGCCTCGAGGGAGGTGATTAAGTTGAATGAGGCCATTAGGGTGGGGCCTAATCCATCAGGACCGGTGTCCACACAGTAAGAAAGCGAGACACCGGGAGCTCTGTGCACGCAGAGGACAGGCCCTGTGAGAGTGTAGCAGCAGGTGGCACCCGCAAGACAGGAGCAGGCCTCACCGGAAACCATCCCTGCCACCTTGACCTTGGACCTCGACCTCCCTCCAGAACTGTGAGAAAACAAACTTTTGTTATTTAAGCACCAGGTCTGCGGTATTTTGTCATGGCAGCTAAGATACTGGACAACCATGTTCCCCATCATCCTTAGGTGGCTTCTGTGCCAACAGTTAATCCGTGGAGGAAGGACTCTGACAATGACTCCTTTTCCACGAGAATGTTCTGTCTAAAACCGTTCACCCTAAGGAACCAGGATGCCAAAGCACACATAGTGTAACTGTTACTCTGATGTCCCAATCCTGCTTCTGGGATCCCCGGCTTGTCTTGGCCGCGCCCTTCATTTTCCCCAAGGAAGGCCAGTTCAAGAGCAGTGCCGCCGGCAGTAGATCACTTCACCTCATTCCAATCCCCTGGAGGCCCTCTGCTCACAGCCTCTGTTAGCTAATGAGCTAAAAAATGACTTATTGGCATGGCTGGCCGTCAGCAGAGAGGAGGAGGCCCAGCTCCTCATTTGAGCCCCGTGCTGACACACCTTTAAATAAATCAGCCACTGGGGAGAGAGAAAATGAGAGAACGGGCAACTAATCAGGAGAAAGACACTGAGCCAATCCCCCAAATAAAAGGAAATGATGCAGTTCCGGGGTGCAGCAGCAAACATTCTCTTCCTTCCTAAAATGGAACCCTCTTTGTAGGTGGCCCCCATCCCCCCTGGGGCCCTGTCCAGGAACCACCTGGTGTGTGAGCCACAGGCCAGCAGGGACTGAGCACAGGTTAGGGGACCACAGGCAGGTGGGCCCAGGTCACGGGAGCTGTGCATCTGCTGAATCTTATAGGGGCTGCTGGACACTGACGTGCTCCAGTGCTGCGGCCTGACGGACAGGGCTTTGTGACCCTTGACCTTGGGGGTGGAGCCATGGAAAGGCTCCATACGTCCCCAAGACGATCCCTGGGACGTCTCCCCAGGATCTGCAACCTGCAGATTCAGTGTCTGCCAAGTGGAATCAGCTGCCGGTACCCATGACCAGCACCTGGCCCAGCTGACGAGGCGGCCTCCACGTCACAGGAGTGCCTAGACTGACACGTG